TTTGAGAAAGTGCACTTCGACGCGAGCTAGTCGGCCAGGCACGACCCACTACGAGGCTATGTATATTTATGGGTCCATTTGATTTGAAAGTGTCGGAGACATGGACCAATCAGAGCTGAGGAAAGATCGATGGCCGTGGTCCAGCTGCACGCTCTCATGGCAGTGTGGCAGCTCATGCAGGCGCCTTTGTCTGCGATGACTCATCGTGGGAATGGAGAAGGCATTCCCAACAATATGAATCCAATTTCCCACCCTGTGTGCAAGGCGGACACAGTCCAGAACACATTTCCACGGCGAAAGCTAGTTATTCCGCAGGCAAGACGTTTGAGGGAAGAGCCATTCAATACTTTTTTGGGGATTTCGCGTTTGAACTGGGGCTATACACTGTCCGGAAGCAGTTTTGTTACACTTATCGCAACTTAAGTAGATCAATGTGGAATGTGTGTCAGTAACAGATATCACGGCCAGTTTTCAGTGAACAGACAAATTCGCTGACGAGCAGGTTATTTGGAGACGTGAAAGAAACGTTGTGTGGATTTCCGGTTAGTAAACAAATGACCACATGGAAGGTAAAAAGGGCTGGTAACTTTCAGAAGAAATGTTGTAGGTCCGCAGAGTCAACTACGAGGGCAACAAACAATTGCAATTCCATGTGATGAGAGGAATTAATACTTCCTGGGTAGGACTCACGAGACCAACAAACGTTTTGGTCTGCTCTATTGGGGTGGCAATGTGGGACCTCTTATACGCAGAATATAGGGCCATGGTATCCGATAATAATTTTTATACTTGCGGTTAGCTGTGTGTTCTAGTGGCTATGGAAATATAACTCAACCATCTCCAGTAGTCAATAAGAAATCGAATATGACTGAAAGTCATCTTAACTATGGACTCAGAAAAACAGGTGCTGATAGTCAAAAATGTTGGAATAGAATATTGTGACCCTTGTCTCGGATCACGGACCTCTCCCGACGACTCACGGAGAACAATTGTCTTAAAAAATTGAAAGCAAGTTTCAGCATTTCGGTCAGTGAACTCGGAGCTTTGGCGCATACCACAGCTCTCGCAGTCATGATCCCAATCGTCCTAAATCAGCAAGTCAGTAATCCTGTCTTGGGCTAACCTAAGGGAATGGGGCCCTGGGACTGACATGCCATCCCCGATTACCCAGTTTTTGTCCTTCTAAAAAACGAAAATATACCCCACCCCCTGCAGGTACCTCTATACATACCGCAAGAATAATTCCTGCTTTTCCTATACGAGAAGCAAGAAATAGCTTCAGGACGAAGGTAGTCATTTCAATGCTAGCACTCACTCATTCCACAGGAATACAGCCTCCAGTCTGTCGGAACTTTAAAGGAGATGATGAGTCTGGCTGGAGAAATCTGCTCGTGGAAACCTGGGCCTCAGAGAATCCGACAATACTTAATGAAAGTCTGAGGGCCATGGTCTCAATTGCCACTGCCAATTGCGTCTTACTGAACACCCCACACAGTGCTTAGGAAATTTCCTCCTTGAGCCCACATCTATTTCGAATCACACGGACCTGCATGTGAGCGTAGTGAGTTGCCATAATGCGTGCGAAAATCGAGGGCTTTGCTTAGCAGTCGCTTGGGCGTTTTTGAGGTTCCCACGCTTCCTCCATCTATCTCCGGCGCGAGGAGGCCTGACTCATCTATCTCTGCCCCCACGGTCTTCTTAGCCGAGCCAAAATGCGGAGCGCACACGCTATGCTAACATGTAATCACTTTTCCCGCGCCCTTCAGGTTTATTTTGCCAGGCTCGTGGCACGCAGGCGCGCGCGCGTAGGTGCGGGTTCATTTGATTGGACGTTAAGCAGGCGACCTTGGGAAAGGTTTTGAGGTATTTTCAAGGCCATTGGCTCATGTACGGTGGCGATGCGTCAAGGTGGTGGTTCACCGAGGGAGCATGGTTGCCTTAGCTGGGTTTGAACCACCTGGATGTGACCTCAATCGCGTAGAAGGTGCCAATAAACAAGACTCACAAAAGTCTATAATCTGACTGATTAGTCTCGCGCCAAGCAGACTCCGCGTTGAAACCGATTTTGACGGCGCCTGTCCTACCAGTGGCTCAAGAATTACCGAGTGGTCCGAAAATGTTTCTTAGTGTACGAAGGACAATTTTATATGGCGGCCAGAATGCCTTTAAGTTAATTATATACTGAAATGTACGTGCTTTCATTCAGCCAATCATAACCCTGACTACCAGCCTGGACTGGAAACACAAACATGCGCTTGACTACGGCACAGATAGTCCACAAACTACGTCTCACAGATGGATCGCAAACACTTTATCGAACCGAAGTGCATCAGTGCCTCACGACCCGTCATCCCCTGTTGCTGCAGATCGGATATTTATTAAAACAGGAATAGGTACACACATCAATCATTTGGCCTGTCGGATTAGACAAGCCCGTATGGATTGCAAAAGTCAACCAACTATCACACCGCAGTCGGCCAAATTATAACTGTAGAGTGCATATTCGTGTCGCCGATCCCAGCTGGTAGTCAGGGTTATGATTGGCTGCCTTACCACTCATACGAAGCTTGTTTGATTCGGAAAGCCAATCGATCGATGTGCGTCTATTCTTGTTTGAAGTTATTATACTTCGATGTTCTTTGGGAAGTCATACTAAATTTTCGAGATTAGTTCCCCAGGTGGACGTCAGACGCGCTAACATTTTAAAAATGCCTGAACTGGAAGGCAGTCATTTCAATGAGAGTAAGTTAATCGGGTAGTGTTAAGACTAATAAAGCTAA